ACACTTTTGAGGTTGCATTGATAATTGTCAGTGTAGATGTCCCTATTCACTCTTTCTGGTTATCGGCAATACTTTCCTCAAACTGTGACAGCATGAGGAAAGTACTTCCGATAACCAGCAAGTGTGTTTACAACGTGATCATCTGTGATTGGACACAGCTGATCACGTGGTAAAAGGCCGCTGTGATTGGCCCTTTGCCATGTCATGTGATCAACTATGTCCAAAGGACACAGCGATCACAGAGAGCACCAGGTGCGCGCTGCTGGGGGTGCACGAAAGAGCACGGTTCTGGGGGTACGTCATATGACGCCCTCCCAGAATTAGACGACCACACTGTAGGTGTCACTCAGTTAAATCTGTCTTAAAAGAACAGTGGTGTCATAAACAGTTGCCATTAGAAAAATCCTGTTTTTACTTTGTTTTTATTCTTTTTGGCATCTCATTGCTGCTATACTCCTCCAGTCTTTTTGCAGTCACTTCCTTCTGTGTGCAGGGTGGCTACTTATAGTCTCCACTGGAAGTACTTGTCACAGGGTGATAACACAGGAGCACAGTGGGGAGATGTGGACAGAATCTTGTCACCCTATTACAGAAAGTGGAATTTATTTACTAAAACTGGAGAGCGCCAAAGTTAGGTGCACTTCTGCATAGAAACCAATCAGCTTCCAGGTTTTATTGCCAAAGCTTAATTGAACAAGCTGAGGTTAGAAGATGGGTGCACCAGTTTTAGTAAATCTACCCCAGTGTCTCAACAAGGACTTTCATGGCAGGATCACCAGTGTTTTATTTTGATGAAAGATGCAGATTGAAAATATTAGAAAATTATAGGATATTTTAGCAAATGGCTACAGATCTAATTTAAAGATCTATTTTTTTTAGAATCATTACAGCTACAGAAAAATTAATAAAAGGTGAATTTTGGCTTGAAAAGCAGTCCTTGGGCTCGAGTCCAGCGGCATGACCTAGCCTGAGATGTTTTTATCAGTCTCCTGCAGGCGGGAGGAAGCATTTCATGAGTTCCTCACCTCCAGTGATCACACTGCAACATTGTAACTATTTAGACTAGTGTCAAGTTGGGAGGCTGCAGCAGGGGCTGATCTGTGTGAAGGGTAATCACTACCTGGCAGGGGTGGACTGACAACTCATGGGGCCCCTCGGACAATAGGGGATCATGGGGCCCCTGTGTCCTTGCCCAAACTCAAAAAAGCCTATGAAAAAGGTACCAGGGGCATCTCATGGGGCCCCCTACTGACCCTGGGCCCAGGGGCAGTGCCCGAGTTTCCAAATGGTCAGTCCACCCCTGCTACCTGGTATTATTTGACTCCACATTACTTGGTGTCAGAGGTGTAACTAGGTGTAACTAGAACCCTCTGGGTCCCAGTGCAAGATCCTTCCAGTTACTGAACGCCAGGGCCTGGTCGCAACCTTTGCAACCCTGATAGTTCTGCTACTGGTGTCAATAGTTTTTTATTATTGTTATTTGATTTTTTTTCAGTATGTTTTACAGGTTTTTTTTAGTTTTTTTACAATATTATTTTTTAACACTTTTAGGAGCCCCATTTAAAGGCACTTTGGTGTAATATCAGGGGTCTAAACAGACCCCTGATGTCTCACTTTTGAGACAAGACTGAGGACACAATACACTCGCATTTTTTTTTAAGCTCCTAGAAGCTATTATGAGCATTTTTGGTTTCTGCTCCTAAAAGCTGATAGTGTTATCCTATGTGTCCATGAAAACTATTTTATGCTAGAAGCATTTTTCAAGCTTCAGCTTCTGGATGCGGAAAAAAAAATTGTTTTTGTAGAGTTTTTGGGAGCGTTTTCCCGGCAGATAAAAACACTGAACACTCCTAAATGCTTCTAAACATTACTAAAATGCTACTACAAGCCAGCACAAGAACACTATTATCAGCATTTTTCATCCAGCATTTTTCTAGTATTTTGCAAGCTTATTAAAAATGCGAATGTGCATGGAGCCTAAATCTCTACAGCTTCAGCTGCACAGAGTGAATGGTCAGCAATAGCTCTGTGCAGAGCTTCCTGTTCATTTACAAACTGAAGCACAGTGAACACAGTTTAGTATGCTTTAGTTATAAATGGACAGAGTCAGTGATCAGTACTGATCACTGACTCTGTTCGTTCAGACAAGGAAGGAGCTGGTAAATTACATATTTACTGGCCCCTTCCCCCCTTTCCATCCTGAATCATTTCCCGCAGCAGCCAGAGGGGAGGGGAGGGGGGAAGCCAGCAGACCTGCAGTAGGGGTCGCAGCAGAAGAAGGGAAGCTGGATAGGAACGGTGGCAGGGGTGGCATATAGAGGAACCCATCCCTTCCATTTTAATCCTGCAGCCACTGAATGCCAGCAAGAGGGAGAAGAGGAGAAGCAGGTTTTCAGCAGCTGCAGGAGGAAAATGGAGGGGACTGGTTCCTCGATATGCTGCGCTTCCTATCCAGGCATACAGGGGGCTGCACGGGTCCCCTGGAGCTTGGGGCCAGGTTGCAATTGTGACTCCTGTAGGTGCACCCCTGCTTAGCATGCTGCACCGAATGTGAAAACTATATGTGATAGTACATGGCTAGATAGACATCATCTAGAAAGAAAGATAAATAATTGGGAATTACTTTAATGTCAGGCCACAGGGAGAAGGGTACATCAAAGTAGTTTATTTATCCTTAAGGGCCAGTTCACACTAGGCTCTGATATGAATCACACAGGAATGTGCGTTTATGTGCGATTCATATGCTGGACAATGCCGTGCAATTTCATGCCCATTCATTTGAATGGGATGAAATCTCACTGCACCATGCTAAAAGTAGTGCATGCACTACTTTTTTAAACACACAGCAACCGCATTGCATGGTACTTTGTACCATGTAGTTTTGTGCAGGCCGGTGTGGGAAAAACGCAATGTGTTTGGGACCTGCGTTCGGGGTGTCATTAACTTTAACTGACCCCCACAGCAGATCACAAGGGCATAGGAATGCAGCTCTCCTGCACTGCATTCCAGTGTGAACGAGCACTGAAATAGCACTTGTGCCTAGACTATGAACATTAAAGCCCTCACTGACCTCTGTAGCTGTTTGTACTGTGAAGTAATTTATCCTCAAAGATCCCAACAAAGTCAGTTTCAGTCAAATTCCAACAGCTTAGAAGGACCTGATGTTTCAAGACATGAGCTTCTGAAAAGGTAAATATACATACGTATTTTTTTTTACAAAACAGGGATTTATTTTATTTAGGACCATGTGGTGACAGGGTCACTTTAGGTAGCCAAAAGGGGAATATAGCATCTATTTTGGGTCAACTGTATTTAACAAATGTTTTATACTTTTTACTGATTTTTTTTTTATCTTTCTCATGATCTGGAATCAGGCTCGGAGTCCTGTCGCTGAAACAGCAGGCAAGTTTGTGGCTATAAACCAGCTCAGGACAGAAGTAGCCTACGATATCGGGTTAGTGTTGTGACAAGACAAAGCAAGTCCCTTGCGCATGCACAATAGTTACGTCATGTTGGGCTGGGCAATCAAGATGGCTGAAGGTTCCAAACATGAAAGAAGACCACATTAAGATAAAAATGCTGGTGAAGAGCACAAGCTAATCCACGTGTCCTACAAGTGTTTCAGTCCACTTATTTCTAGAGTCCCCCATCCCCCAAAGATTGGTGATCTCATGACTGGTCAGAGAATATTCAAAATGTAGCATGAGAGGTGTAGAAACATCCACAGAATAGATGAAGCAAGAGCAGGGAGATGCTTGCATTGCAGCTCCTCAGGTACAGCTTCCTTTCCAACCAGGAGAACAGTGAGCAGCACAGTAGTGACATCACCAAATCGCACTCCAGATCTGGTGAGACTGCAGTCAGAAGCTGTAGTGCTATGTATGATCTCATTCTGCAGATATACAGCGATGGGACTATAGGACATGAGTGCCTAGGCACAGGAAGTGTGCTGTTATTTTTGTTATGCAAAGTTCAAGACAAAAAATAAAATTTTCAGGGTACTACTTAGGCATATAATCTTTATAGAGGTTCCCAGTACATGGCAAATCTCCATTTTTTGAGTTCAGGTTGACTTTAAGGCCACCAACCAACACAGTTTATCAAAAACTTTTTTCTGAATTGATTTTATTATAAGAGCTGATCAAATGTTGCCAGCGTTATAATAGGTCTAGTAGTGGTACAATAACTCTACAAAGCAGGAGAAAGAATGTTATGCACCTTTGTTAATTGAGATCCAAGAGGTGTGAGCCATGTAAAATATGGTATCAAAGAATAACGACCAAACAAAAAAAAATTGCTTTCTAATTTGAGCCCATTATACCTCCTAAATACCTGGAATCTCTCATTTATGACTTCACACAACTACAGTAATGGTCTCTATATAGGATTTCCAGACAATGTTAACCAGCCAACCTCAGCATGTTCCCAGAACACAAATTCTTCACCGGTGAAGTGATAACCACTTGTGAAAATGGTCAGTTGATCAGAGATTAAATATAGGGCCACAAGTATGCTGACACCCTCTAAATTGAGTTCTAATGTTTTCAGTGAAGGATACACTCAATGCTCCATCATACAAAGACATTTCAAACAATAATGGAAACAGTTCAACTGCTAGCCTACAGGACACTTATACCCCCTTCCTGCCTAGGCCAATTTCCAGCTTTCAGTGCTGTCGCACTTTGAATGACAATTGCGCGGTCATGCAACACTGTACCCATATGAAATTTTTATCATTTTTTTTTGACAGATAGAGCTTTATTTTGGTGGTATTTAATCACCTCTGGGTTTTTTTATTTTTTCTTAAACAAACCAAAAACCACTGAAAATTTTGAAAAAAAAAAGTTTTTTCTTAGTTTTTGTTATACAGTTTTGTAAATAAGTGATTTTTCTCCTTCACTGATATGCGCTAATGAGGCTGCAGTGATGGGCACTGATAGGCTGCACTGATGGACACTGATAGGTGGCACTGATGGACATTGACAGGCATTACTGATGGGCACTGAAAGGCAGCACTGATACATGGCACTGATAGGCGGCACTGATAGGCGGCACTGACTGGCACTGATAGGCGGCACTGACTGGCACTGATAGGCGGTACTGACTGGCACTGTTAGGCAGCACTGACTGGCACTGACACGCAGCACTGACTGGCACTGATAGGCGGCACTGACTGGCACTGATAGGCGGCAATGACTGTCTCTGATAGGTGGCACTGATTGGCAGCACTGATAGGTGGCACTGATTGGCATTGATAGGTGGCACTGACTGGCACTGATGGGTGACACTGAAAGGCAGCTCAGATGGGCACTGATATGTGGCATTGATGTGCACTGGTAGGCACTGATATGTGGCATTGATGTGGCACTGATGGGCACTTGCACGAGGCACTGATGAGCACTGACACAAGGCACTGATGGACACTGACAGGTGGCGCTGCTGGGGCTACACTGATGATCAGTGCCCTGATGATCAGTGTACATGTCCCCTCTGTAGAAAGCCGATTACCGGCTCTCCTCCCGAGCTGTCAGCGTGACAGCTCGAGAGGAGAGAAATGCCGATAACCTGCATTTCCCTGTTTACATGTGATCAGCTGTGATTGGACACAGCTGATCACATGTCCGAGGGACACAGTGCACCGCCGATTGCCACGCTGCGCGCTCCCTGAGCCGCGCATGCGCAGTGAGAATGGGAGTACGTCATATGACATCCTCCCAGAACTAGAGAACCACCTTGCGTCCATCATATTACTATATGGCGGGCGGGAGGTGGTTAAGGAAGCACCTGTTTCAGCCCCTGTGCACAAAATTGGCTCCATAAAGACACAGTTTAATGAGGTCTGGAGGAATTTGAGTGGCCTGCACAGGATCTGACCTCAACCCTACTGATAAATTGGAACACTAATTGTTGGCCAGGTCTTATTGGCAGATTAGTACCACACCTCACCTCTTTTGGCTGAGTGGGCACAAATTCCTAGAGACACAATCACAAATTTAGTGGAAAACCTCCCCCGAAGGTGGAGAACCTTCCTAGAAAAGTGTAGGCAAATCTACTGTATATAACTCATGGCAACTGTGTGAGTCTGTGATTAAGGTCGGGTTACTGCAGGTCAAGTTGGGTGACCTAACAAGTTGGGACTATATCTCTTCCACCTGGTTCTGGAGGACTATGGGAACCTTCCAGAAGCCATTAGGCAGAAGAGGTGGAGACCTAATCTGGATGTTTGTGAGAGTCTAACCAATCCCAGGTTTGGAGGCCCTAGTAGAGCGGTGAACCAGCCCATAAATATGGGATAGTCAGGCCAACTGGGGAGTCAGGTAGAAGATGGAGTGCTAAATAGACTGTCGATGACCTGGCAAGGGTTCCTAGGTCTGGGGGGGCTGGCCTCCAGGCTGGGCTCAGGCTGGCTCAAGAGGATCCATTCAGCAGTACGGCATGAACAGGATCAAGGCCTAGGAGCAGTGGGAGCAAAGAGGACAGAGTGAGTACATCAGCACGCTCTGGGATTCACAAGGGGAGAGTCTGCCAGATGTAGCAAGCTTTCAAATGACAGCACTGTTGTCAGGAAACTAGCACAATTAATGCTAATTCTTCTACAGCTAATGCTCAGCTACTGCTCTTTCCCATGTAGCTAATGCTCGTGCACGTGTACCAGCACACAGACCAGCTCAGGCTAATATCCAGCATGCACTGGAACATAGGGCATTTCTGTGCACCAGTGCACCATGCTGCCTGTTTAAAGAAGACTCTGCATACTGATCGCTAGATGTTCTTCAGCTTTGTGTGGTCTCAGTTCCTGTGTTCCTGTTTGTACTGACTAATCTTCCGTTGCTGACCCAGCTTGTTCCAGACCTTGCTCTGGGGATTCTGATTTCAGCTTGCCTTAGACTATTCTCTGCCTGATCTCATGGTGCTGAGCTGCTACTGGACCTTGCTCTTCCTGCTTGCCTGGTACAGACCCCAGCCTGCCTCCTGACCAAGCTGCTGTCTCACTGTGTATGACCCTGGCTCATCTTGACTATGTCCCTGACTGTGGCAGTCACCTGCTATCAAGCTCAGCCAGTGGTGTATTTTGGTTTTGTGCTGCCCTAGGCAAGACTAAAATTGGGCACCCCCCCAATCTAAATTTGTCCCACCCCTTCCTGTTTAAGATCCACCCCTTTATCTGTAAACACACCACCCCTTCCTCTTTAGACTCCACCTCTTCCTATTAGAGCTCCACCCACTGACAACAATGATGGAGCGCTATTCCTCCCACTGACAACAAAGGTGGGGAGCTATTCCTCCCACTGACAACAACAGTGGGGCACTATTCCTCCCACTGACACCAATGATGGGGCACTATTCCTCCCACTGACACCAATGATGGGGCACTATTCCTCCCACTGACAACAACGATGGGGCACTATTCCTCCCACTGACAACAATGGTGGGGAGCTATTCCTCGCACTGACAACAACAGTGGGGCACTATTCCTCCCACTGACACCAATGATGGGCCACTATTCCTCCCACACTGACACCAATGATGGGGCACTATTCCTCCCACTGACATCAACAATGGTGCCCCATCATTGGTGTTAGTGTGGGAGGAATAGTGCCCCATCATTGGTGTCAGTGGGAGGAATCGTGCCCCACCGTTGTTTTCAGTGGGAGGAATAGCGCCCCACCATTGGTGTCAGTGGGAGGAATCGTGCCCCACCATTGTTTTCAGTGGGAGGAATAGTGCCCCATCGTTGTTGAGCCCTTGGCCAACTTGGCCTTCAACCAAGGGTCATGACAGCTGTGCTTAATCCTTTATCCTTGTCCCGGGAGATCTTCAGAGCAGCCAGGAGGGATGGTGGTGTCTGCAGACTGTGGAGCTGGGAGAAGTTCTGCAAGGGAGAGGAGACATCTCTGCATGTAGTTTACACGAAGCTAAGATGATTTCAGAGGGGCTGTGAGCTCCTTGCCTGTAAGGGGCTGTTTCTACTGATCCACAATGATGATGGCTTTCAAGGAAAAGAACAGTCCAGGATCTGTTTCTGTAAATAGGAAGGAAGTTGTCCCCGTGCTTTGATTCAATTAAGTTGGGCATCCCATAATCCCTATTTTCCTATCCAAGTTATATTCCCCTAATAAAATAACAAAAACCAAGCTCATGGACTGTTCACTGACAGTGGATGAAAGTGTGGAAAATGCATGTTGTTTGGCTGTGCAGAGCTTAGGGGTACCAAGAAACACAGCGGCCCTCACTGGGGTAGCGCTACATAAATTGTAATGCCTATGATTTTGGAATAGAATGCCCAACAAACTCAATACAGGTGAGGTTGTCAGATGGTCCAATATGGAGTTCAGAGCAGAACCTTGGGCACAGAAACGTTTATTTAAATATACTTCCCAACATCCAGAAGGTTATAAATCTATTTTGTCTGCACCAAATGCCCTTCCAAAAACCACATATTAGCTTGTAAATGTGACATAAGCACTGTTCTGCACATAGCCAGAGCTGAACTGTTGACAGAAAACCAGAGGAGGGGCGGATACAAAACCCATCACCCTACACAAGGAGAGACAGCAGCAATGATTGGTCTTTATTACAGGAAGCCCCTCCATAGAGGTAACGTTTCACACTGGAATACTCTACAGATCTTGAGGAAATACACAAAGCACACCAAGATTAACTGCTTTCGCACTGCCCTATAGCAAAAATACTGCTACAGGGCAGCAGGGCTGCGCAAAATCACACACACACACACACACACACACACACACACACACACACACACACACACACACACACACACACACACACACACACACACACACACACACACACACACACACACACACACACACACACACACACACACACACACACACACACACACACACACACACACACACACACACACACACACACACACACACACACCTGATTTTGCATTTCCAGGTAGGGGGTGCGCACCATTGGCGGCCTCAGCTGTCAATCACCAGATCCGGGCCCCCCGCCGGCAACCGGCGAACGCCAAGTATCACTGACAGGGGAGAGACCTGTATGTAAACAATACAGATCTCTCCCCTGTCAGCTCCTGCACACTGCTTTGTATGGCTCTGCAAAGCACAGCCATACAAAGCAGTGTGCTTACAGTGAAACAGAAACACAGCACACAGTAAAACAGCACACAGTTAACCCTTTGATCACCACAGATGCTAACCCCTTCCTGTCCAATGCCATTAGTACAGTGTCAGTGCTTTTTATTAGTGTCACTGGGGATGTCAGTGACAATTAGTCAGTTCCCCCCCAGTGTCAGAAGGGCTGCCGCAGTCCCGCTATAAGTCGCTGATCTCTGCCATTACTAGTATAAATTAAAAAAAAATTCCAGTATCTATACCATCATTTGTAAACGCTTTAACTTTCACGTAAATTAATTAATTTACACGTATTGGGATATTTTTAGTAAAGACATGTAGCAGAATACATTTTGGCCTAAATTTATGAAGAAATTTGACTTTTAAAAAATCTTTTCATGGACATGTTTAATAGCAAAAAGTCCAAAATATTGTTTTTTTCTCAAAATTGGCAGTCTTTTTTTGTTTATAGCACAAAAAAAAAAAACACACAGGTGATCAAATACCACCAAAAGAAAGCTCTATTTGTGGGTACAAAAGGACATAAATTTCATTTGGGTGCAGCGTTGCATGACCATATAAAAATGGCCTGGTCAGGAAGGGGGGTAAATCCTCTGGAGGGCAAGTGGTTAAATTAGGAATACACATACCTCTTGTACTTAGAGAATATTTCTTTATCCCAGAGTTCAGCATTAGGAGGCTGGAGAGGGATATACAGGGGAACTGAAAAGATTTGTGCTGAAAGTGTAGCATTACAGCAACACAGACAGAAAGAAATTACAAAAGCAATGAGCAAAATTGGGTATTTTTTTAGTAAGGCGTGTAATGATCCCATTACCTTCCTAAGGCCCCATTCACATTTCACATAGTGAGAACGCATTTTTTGCGATTTTGCTGTTTTTCCAAAGGTTGTGTGTAGGATAGCCCATTCACTGGAATGGGCTGCCTTTGGTGTGACGAATGAACCAGAGAAGCTCCTGCACCTTTGTGTGTCTCTTTTACGTGTTTTGCCACAATTTCTGTTTTTGTCAAGCGACAACCGTGGTAAAATCGCAGTGCATTATGAATGTATGGCACCCAAACACATATCACACATTTTGCTGTAATTGTAGCACAATCTGGAATCGGGCAGATTTGCGCAATTTTGCCCATGAGTACAGGGGCGGACTGACAACTCATGGGGCCCCCGGGCAATAGGGGATCATGGGGCCCCTGTGTCCTTGCCCAAACTCAAAAAAGCCTATGAAAAAGGTACCAGGAGCATCTCACAGGGGCCCCCTACTGACCCCGGGCCCTCAGGCAGTGCCCCAGTTTCCAAATGGTCAGTCTGCCCCTGCGTGAGTACAGATATGAGAAATGTGAATGCAGCCTAAGATACGGTGTAGTGACCACAAAATCAACACTGGAGGGAGACATTTCACAATCTGGGACTGGTTACTCATGGATGTTCAACTTCAAATTCCAGCAAATTTTCATCAGACAAATAATATTTTCTAGGCAAGCGTTTCGTGAAAAGCTGATTAAACAATTCAAGTAAGGATTTCTACTGTTTTTATTGCCACCACACTCACTGACCCTTAACCACTTCAGC